CTTTGTGTGTTTAATGCTGTGTATCACAATATTGATTTGCCTATGTTGCACCATCCTTGCATCACAGAGATAAATTCCACTTGATACTGGTGAATGATTTTTTTTAATGTGCTCTTGTATTTCGTTTGCTAATGGTTTTTCTTTTATTGAAAGAACAATTTGGGTTGAATTCTTTGTCAGAGAATTCCCCGATCTCCACTTCTTTGGGGCCAGTTACTGGAGGTTTACGGTATTCCTTTGGTAGACACAGGTTTCCCTCATTCTCATCACTGTTGCCTTATGTAAGTGTCTGTGCATTTGAGGAAGCAGTCACGTCTTCCAGAAGTTATGGAGTGATTATGCAGTATGGATGTGCAGCATACTGACTTGTTCTATGCCCCTGCATCTACTGGTGCAGGGTGCTATGTACAGGGGCACATGGCAGCAGCAGGACCAAGGGGGCTGTGATGTCTCTTCAGTTCAGGGCACTGAGGTTCCACAGTGTCAATATCTGTTTGTCGATGAGCATGGCAGAGAGAATGCAGTGGCTAGAAGGGCTGTTGGGCTCCTAATGGTGACTCCAGGACCCATAGCTAGGGACCAGGGCAGGCAGTAATGGTGGTCACTGCCAGTGGTGTACACACACCAGGCTGTGCGGGTCTACTGAAGGTGTAACTGGCAGACACACTTGTGGTGATGGGGGCTGGGGGAGGTAGCAAAGGCCAAGGAAAACTGTGCACTCACCAGCTTCTGTAGAGGACCTGCGTGCCAGCGTACTCTCCTATGGCTTCACACTCTACCCCCAGGTATGCAGACAGCAGTGGAGTCCAGTGATGGGGGTCTGGCTGAGGGTCAAGCATGTCCACCCCTGGAGGGACGAGCTATCCGTGGGCATGGTGATGCCAGCCAGTGACAGATGGCAGAGCCTGATCTGAGCCCACTGACAGCTACAGGGACCCTGGATGATGGTGGTCTCTTGTACAGCTGCAATCTCTTGCCCTGGTTCTGCAAACTGAGTTGAAAGCCCTTGATGGGCATCGGGCTGGGGGTTCTATAGGTTCACAGCGGCAGGGACTATCTACAGGTGTGTGTCGTATTGCTGGCCAGTAACAGATGACAGGGCCTAATACAGACCCACTAGGACATTGGGGGGGGTGGTTCCTAGATGTCAGTATGCTGTCCTGTGGCCACACCATCTTTCCCCTGTGCTGTGCAGTATAGTGAGTGCCAGTGGTGGGAGACCTGCTAGAGTGAACCTTCTAGAGGTGCTATCTGTAGGTGGGCATGGTGTTGCTGGCCAGTGACAGGAGCCTGAGCATGATTCCTATCCATAATCAGCTGTTGCAGGGGCCTGGCTGTCAGAGTGTTCACCCATCACTGCACAGTCCCCTCTGTGTACATACCGGCCGTAGCAGATGCCAATGACAGCCACCAGGCCATGGCATGCAGGTGCCTAGATAGTTAGAGGGGCTAGCCCCAAGTGCACGCAAGCTGGTTCGTCTGCCAAGTGT